TGCTGCCGCTACCACCGTCCGCCAACAACCACAACATTGTCCTCGCCCTCGTTCCACCCAGAGATGCAAGTCTACGGCAAGGCATCTTGGCTAAGTACCCTGCCGCGCGCGCATACGTACAGAGAGACAGAGAGAGCAGAGTCGCCTCCAATGCAATGCGCCTCCCCTGCCTCATTTCTCGTCCCGGACCCCAATTGGCTCCTTCGCCGCCGCCGTGGGGTCTCAAGTCCGCTCCAACGCACTCCGGCGGCTCGATGCTCATGCTCATGCTCAACCCCATGCCCACCTTCAACCTCACTGCTACACCATCATATCACAGACTGACAATACTGCAGTACCAACAGCTCCCCAGAACAAGCTTACCCTTGCGCGCAGACTGATCGACGGCCAAACCCCACGTATGTCGTGGCATGATCCAGCCCTAAACCCAGACGAACCTCTCCAGATGGAACCTCACGACCGCGGCAAGGCTGGCGCCTACTCACACCCAACGCTTTTGCTAATTTCGACCCTCTTTTCCCGGCCCCAATCTCTTCCCGTTTGAGCCGTATGCTCCCTTCTTCGGCACCCCGGTCTGCCGTCCGATCATGCCAGGTTCCATCGTAGCCGCCCTCCAGACCCAGCCAGTTCTACGCGCCCAACTCCCGACAGACGCCCATCCTCGCCATCCCTCCAGCCAATGTCGTCCGCCCTCTGTCTGGACGCCCGCTCTTTTGGACACACGAGACGGGTTTCATGGCATCGATGGCTGCGATTCTGCTCTTTTGCAGCCATGCTGTCTTGTTTCACATCTTTACCACCCCGGTCTCATCTCGACCGCGCTTCTTCGCCTCTTTGTCCCCCCGGCAGGCCGTGATGTTGCTTAAAGTCAGACCCAACGTCCGCCTCTCGACCTGATTCTGACCCTCCTGTTCCTCAGTCTATCAAGCAATCTCACAACATCTCACAACATTTCCTTTTCCGTCTCTTTTCCTTTTTCCTTTTTTCCTTCCAAGTCTTCGTCATCGTCATCGTCGTAGCATTTCCTAAGCCAGATTTTCTAGATTTCTTCTGACTTACACACCTCCATTCGCTATCACTCTCCTCTATTACTACTCTATATCCATCATCGGCCTCTCTCCTGAGTCCACCTCCAGGCGAGGAACGAACGCCAACGAAACGAAACTCTCACTTTCGACACTGTCAACTCTCTCTTCGCAGCTTAATCCTCTAATCTGCATTCGTTTATATCCTACTCCTTGACGGCAACTCTCTAGTTGCCCCCTTTGACACAATATCTTCCCACGGTATCATGCCCAAGCACACGCGGGCATCCAGTTCGAGCCACCACCGCTACATCAACTCCATGCCTGTGTCCCTCGCTCCCGCGGCGAACCCCATCGCCATGTACAACCAGAGAATGTCAATGCCGCAGACCTACTACACGGTGCCCTCCTCTTCAGCCCCGATGCAGCCCCAGCCACAGCCCACCTACGAAAGCTACGCCCCGGTGGCCGCACCCCCGGTCTCGGTACCTCCTCTGCAGCACCGCGCCTCTTCCGGGGCCTGGACGCCGCAGGACGACCAGCAACTCCTCTCGGCCCGTTCTCAGGGCCTGAACTGGGGCCAGATCCAGATGGCCTACTTCCCAAACAAGACCCCCAACGCCTGCAGAAAGCGCCACGAGCGTCTGATGGAGCGCAAGGGTGCCGACGACTGGGACAACCGCAAGCTCGAACGCTTGGCCAAGGAATACATGAGCATGCGCAAGGAGATTTGGTCTGCTCTCGCCGCACGCACCGGAGAGAAGTGGAACGTTGTTGAGTCCAAGGTATGTTCAACCATGATGACATCAGCAAGATGTACGACGCATCTGCTAACCAAGCCTCTGCAGTGCATGTCCAACGGACTCAAGAATCTTCAAAGTGCGGCCCGCGCCGGGGCCAGACGGGAGCGCCTGGAATCGGGGCAACCACTACCACCAGGGTATGACGATGACAGCGGCATCAGCGGCCTCGGGTTAACCCCAGTTGACGAGCTAGACGCGTCCTACAGTAGCCCGGAGATGTCCTCTGGCCACTCCAGCGGTGGCAGCACCACCTCGGCCGCCGGTTACGTCACCTCCTTCTCCCAACATCTCCAACCTCTCCATGCCGGACAATACGGTTACGGCCACACGGGCGCCCATCACGGATACAACAGCTCTGTTTCCTCGAATGCCTCGGTCAACGGCGGATACCCAGGCCAGTCACCATCCGTCTCACCCGGCCCACAAATGTATCAACACGGCCAGAGGTTGCCGAGCGTGGACATGGGCATCGACGCCATCATCAACCGTCCCGGCGGTGGCGGCCAACATCCCATGTGAGGGTGTCGTTATCTTTCCTTTTTATCAGAATGATTGAACGCTCGTTTACAACAACAAGTTTGCACTCGGAGGCTTTTTCGTTTTTACACAGGATTTTGCTTTTAATTCCTTTTTTTTTTTTAGCCCTAGGCCCATTTTGCACCGTTCATGGACATTCAGGGTGGCGTTGCAGGCGTTGGGATGGCCGATACAACCGGATATACCGTTGACAAGAAATATGGGTGGAAAGTGCGTGGTCCTCTTACAGGGTGGCTTGAGAGACGGGGACAACAGCACACAGGCAATATCACTTGCCTTGGTAATGACAACGGGCGGAGAAGCACCCAAGGAGTCATGGTTGTGTACATTAGCATCTATAGATACCAAGATGATGGTGGCTGGTATGAAAAGGGGAGGGACCGGAGAAATGCAACCAGATTTGAAGTTCACAATCCAAACGTCTATTCGGTCAGCTGCGTCTTCTAGTCATAGCAGCACACGCACACACAAACGCAAAGTTACAGAGTGAGGTCGGTATTTTGAACTCGGGATCCTAGACCGAGGCCCTCCCGGTAGAACCGCTTCTTTCCATGACAAAAGAGCACACTATGATACATGGCAAGTTCTACGCTTGCCGCCTCTACCACTATCTGCGCGGGGCGGGTGGGGTAACAGGCATCTCGTCTAGCTCGTCGTCTTCCCATTCATCCTCGTCGCTGCCCATGACACTATTCCACACACGACTCCACATGCCCTTCTTCTGTAGCAGCGCCAGCACCATGACGACGGGCAGATGCCAGACACTGGCCCAGAACAGACCCCTGGCCGAGCCCTTGTGACCCTCGTACTTCCAAAACCGCACGGCCTGCCACGAAAGCCATCCGTTGACCGACAAACTCGTCACGGCAAAGCTCCACTCCGTCACGCCGGCAGCGCAAAGCGCCACGCACAGGGGGATGAAGGCTATGCTGTACCTCAGCGCAACGCGGGCGTTGCGGGCGGGGTTGGTCCACGCAAGCATGCGCAGGCCCGCCGCCTTGTACTCTTCCCTGATGGGCCAAGAAAGGGCCATAAAGTGCGGGAACTGCCAGGCGAACAGCAGACCGGCCATCAGCCAGCCGCCAATGGAGCTGCCATCGCTGGCAAGGAGGAGTTCTCGCCAGGAGCCGTCGCCCGAGGCGGTCTCGCCTGCGGCCGCGGCCCAGCCCATCAGCGGGGGGATGCCGCCGACGACGGCGCCCAGCCAGGTGTTGGCGGCGCTCATGGCCTTCATCGGGGTGTACATGCCCGCGTAGATGAAGATGTTGGCACCGCCGAGGAATGCGACGGTCGGGTTGACGCCGAAATAGAGGGCGCCCACGCCGGTGAGGGCCGTGGCGACGGCGAACACGACGGCGGCGCGCGTCGAGAGCAAGCCTCTGACCAGGGGACGATTCCTTGTGCGGGTCATCTTGGCGTCGGTGGAGGGCTCGTAGAGCATGTTCAGGGAGTTGGCCGAGGCGGAACATAGGGCGGTGCCGGTGGTGAGGAACAGCAGCGTCAACGGGCTGAGCGAGGGCGACTCGGTGATGGCGGGGGAGAGGAAGGCGGGGACTGGGTACAGCGCGTAGGAAGACATTGCGGTCAGCACGACGAGCGCGGAGAGGCGGGGTTTCGAGAGGGAGAGGAGGGTCGAGAAGATGCGACGAGCGGAATGGGCGGGTTGCCGTTCGGCGACGCTGGTGAGGGCGGAGGAGGCATCTTGAGGGAGGGGTACGTCGGGCGAAGAGGCGGCGGCAGCTTCAGCGGCGGCTTTGCGTTTCGCGGCCTGACGGCGACGGGGGGGGAGTTCGTGGGTTACGGCGAGGTGGTTCGGCTCGGATTGTGTGTTGGAAGAGGAGGAGGAAGAGGCGATCGAGGCTGAGGCGGAGACGGAAGAGCTTCGGGTTCCTGAGGGTCGAGGACGCTCCAGGACGCTGTTGGGGAGGAAGTAGCTCGCACTAAGACGCACGGCGGGGGCGGCCTTGGGTGTCGTCGTGGAAGCGGCGCGCCGGGGGATCAATGGCGAGGAGAGCAGGGCCCGAGGGGAGCTCGAGGCTTGGTGGAGGCATTGGCGACACGCATTATCGAGAAGACGAGGGCGCAAGAGCGTATTGGGAGCTGGCCGCATGGTTCTTGCTCTGCTCAGTGTCCGCGCTCATGTCTCTGCCTGTGGAGGGGAGAGCGAGGGCGAGGACGGCGGACGACAGCGGGTGCTTCTCACTCACTGAGCCATGCGCAAAGCTTTCGATCGGTCCGTTGAGAGGGGCTGGAGACGGAGGTCGTGAGCCGGCGAGGTGATCGGGGCGTCGTCGGTCGGGTGGGCGGGCGAGATGTTCAAGAACGTGGGAGCATTGAAAGAATCATGCGGACGACACGGCCTGGCGGGATGGATGGGCTCAGAAAATACTTGGCCAATCAGGTGGCGGCTGATGGAGGTGTCAAGTGGATCCACTTTTCCCGGGCTCTGTCGGGTCGGGTCCACCGCTTCGGCGGTCGGCGGGCACTTTGCGGCATCCGAAGCCTTCAAGAAAACACCACTGTGGAAGGGAACAATCTAGTCTATTGACGATTACTGATCTGCCCCAAGAAAGACCCAGACCCCAACCTCAACGCCATCCGTCTAATCCACAATCAACAGTCCCTCACAGCAGTCTCAAGCATCCCCCAACTCGTCTTCATCCTCAGCCACCCTTGTCTTCTTGGGTGACCCGGCACGCCCCTGAGCATCCGTCTCGTCGCGCTTGCGCTTATCGCCAGTGTTGCTTGGTGCCTCATCCCCAGACGCAGTTTCCGGCACCAACTCGCTAGAGTCTGCCACGCTCAGGTCATCCTCCTCACCTGTGTCCTTCCACGTTTCGTCGCGAGGAAGCCCCATCGAACGAACCCTGCGTGTCTTGCGCCGTTTCGTCTTGTTGCCGTCTGCATCTTCAACCTCTTCATAGTACTCCTCGTCCTCGTCATCATTCCCTTCATCATTTATGAAGTCGCCGTCTGCATCCTCATTAACCCCGTTTTCATCCTCATCCTCATCAACCTCGCCATCGTCGTCATCACCAGGGAAGGGAAGACGCCAGTTGTCCTTGTTATCATTGTGATTGGGGTCGTGCTGCCAGGTCAGGTTGGTGCGTTTGCTTCCATCTGTAGGGCACATGGTCTTCGCCAGCTCAGGGTGTTCATCCAAGAAGTCGGCCTTGAGTTTGGAGAGCCGGACATGCTTCGGCTGTTTGATCCAACCGACTCTGCTCGGCAAGACTGGCCAATCTTCTTCATCAACCTCAAACTCGCCCTCCTTTGCAGGAATGCGACAACTTCGGTTCGGGTCCGAGTGGGCCTGTGAGGAAGAATAGGTCAGTCATGAATGTGGTCGTCAGCGCAGGAAGTGGATTCTCTTACATCGACTTGGGCTTGTCTGTCCGGGTCACCGCGCTTGATGCCTCTTGGGCCTCGCTTAGGGGCCTTGCGGAAGCATCGTGAGCAGTACATGTCATCATCAGGGACAAAGCCGCTTGTGGGGACGGGAACAGGGACGGGTCCGAAAGGCTTAGGTTTGGTCGGAGGCCGGGGCTTGGCTGAGGGCTTAACTGTCGGCTCCGATGTAGGCTTACTGGGTGTCGGCTTCGTCGTTGGTGGCTTGTTGGTCGATGGCTTCGAGGGAGTAGGCCTCGAGGGAGTAGGCTTCGAGGGAGTAGGCTTCGTGGTCACAGGCTTTGTCGTCGAAGGGTCCACAACCTTGGGAGGGTTGCTGCTGCTGCCACCTCCGTTATTGCCACCTCCGCCTCCACTGATGTCTCCCAAATGGCCGCCCGTGTTGGCTCCTTGGCCCTCTCTGGGACCATATGGGGTTATTGGCGGTGTGCGCTGGCCAGAAGGCGGAATTTGTGACTCTCCAATCTCAACGCCTTGCATGGGATCCGTCACAGGCTGAGACTCCTGAGGACGGTTTACATCCCGGCGGCCTCCAGGGCGAGAGTTGTCAGGTTGTTCAAAGAGTCCAGTGCCTGTAGATGCAGTCTCTGATGGTCCTGATTGAGCAACCGTGTTTGTGCCTGGGATAGGCTGCTTGCCCTCTCGTATTCTCTGCTTCTTGCGCTCTTCCCTCAATCTTGCCAGTTCGGCTTCCCTGTTCGGCTGCCTACCGATAACGAAGTCTTCAGCACCATGTGTCGTCTCCATGTGATGGTTAAGTTGTCGCTGGTTCATGAATCCCACCATAGCTCCGCACTTCTCAAAATACGGGCACCTCTTGTCGCGTCGATCCACGGCCCTCTCGTTGTCGGGATCCCACATGCTGTGACCGGGGCCGAACGGCTCACGCTGCGGTATATGAGGGATGTCCTTGTCCTCCAAGATTTTCCAAAGCTCATAGACGTGGCATTCCATATGCTTGACCTGGAAGATTCGTGCTTGAATCTCTGGAAGGTTCTCGTTCGCTTTACGCTCTTCCTCTGGGACCCGGAAATCAAGGCGGCAGAGAGGGCATTGCTTCAGGGGCATGCCGCCGTGCTTCGTCTCGTAGTGAACCAGAACCTCAGACGGCGTGAGACCAAAAAGAGGTTCGAGGCACCCACGAACGGTGCACTCCGCCGGAGGATCTTGCACGGGACTCGGGCCAGGCTTGTCGTGCCACGCCAACGGGTAGCTCAGAAAGCGGTCGGGAGCAGGGCGCCGTGGCTGTCGGCGAACAAGATCCCGAGCAGCATTCGAACCGATGTAGAGCGGATCCGTGGGCTGATCCCTATCCTTCCAGTAGCCTTCCGGATAGATCTCAAACGGTGTAATATTAGGCGGCTTCTTATCGGGACAGTCTACGATGTGCTTCTTAATGGTCTCGATCTCTTCCTGCTTCCCGTCCACGACGAAATTCTTTTGGCAATAAGGGCAAAAGCAACCCAAATGGGCAAAGAAACCGCCGCAATGCTGACGATGCCGGTCGATCTTTTCGTCTGAGAGCTTTCTCAGGGAGAACCCGCACTTGTTGCAGAAAGGCTTCTTAGAATGGGACATTCCTCTGCAGCGGTGCGGATATTCGTCATACGGGGCGAACTCATCCCTGACCTCTTTGCTGTTCCAGACGGCGTCGCCGCACGTTTCGCAGAAAGTACAACGACCGACTGCTTCGGCGTGAGGTACACAAGTGCGATCGTGGTGGTCACGCTCATCCCTGTCGTTGAGCACGTGGTGGTCCCGGCCACATCTGTCGCAGTACCGATATTCGCTTTCCTTGCCATTAGCCTTCGGGGGTGGGCTCAGTTTCGGTAGAGGTCCTTTTGGAGGCTGAAGTCGGCCAAGGATGGTGGATGGTATGACACGGAGATCTTCAGACGTAGACTGAGGCACTGTCGGTTTTTCAGTCGCTGGGCGAGGGTCAGGCATGTTCAGAATCTTGCGCAACTGAGCTGCGTGCTTCTCCTTGATGTGCTCCTCTCTTTGCTGGAAAGTCCAGTGCGTAAAGAGCTGCACATCGCACCATGGGCACTTATTGTCAACATGACTCTCCTTGAGATGTTGCGCAAACTCGACGTTCTTGCCCTGGCGATAGTCGTATTTGCACTTCTCGAATGGGCATCCGTTTTGGCGGTCAAGGATCATGTTGCGGTACTTCCAACCCAGTTCTTGCAAATCTCGCTGCTCAGTCGCCGTGAGAACATTCTTGTTGAACAAGTACAAGTTTTTATCGCTTCCTCCCGTCCTCATGATCGCTTCAATTGGCGGTGCATTGATGGGGATGGACGGGTTGTATATGCCTCTGTCGAATACGCTCGGCTGCTTGGACCAAGTCTTCTCACGAGCGTTCTCCTCGGGTACTCTCTGTTCTGGACGTTCATCAGGTGGGTGCGGGAAATCCTCTCTGGCCAGGCTGATGAGAGGGAGACCAAGTTCGTCCCGGAAGCGTGTGACGTCGCCATACCGAGGTCCCCATTCAGACCTGTCAAGCTGTTTGACTGTGATTATGTGGTCAGTAGTGTTGCATCAGTTAAGCATGGAGAACGTCCTCACCAAAATCTAGTTTATCATCCTGTAGGATTGAAATTTGCACCTCTTCTGCAATGATGCGACGTCTGATCATCGCCAGCTGGTTGTCGGGGTCATTCGGTCGAAGGATAAAAGGTGCCGGATTCCAATCATTGGTGAAATTCCTTGGGATCAAGGGCTGGAGCAGGATGGAATGTTTTCCGGGATCATACTCGATGTTGGGACAGCCTTCGTACAGTTTCCGAATCTTGGACTTGAATGTCGCCATCGCATGGGAATCTACGTTGAAATCTTGATGTCCATTCCTCCACTCCTGGCTGACCATTCTGCAGGTGACATCACCGTCGACCGGCTGGATGACAAACAACCGGCAAGGCTCACGCTCGTCGTTCACTGAGTCTGTGATGAACCTCGAGAGGTTCTGCTGGTCCTGTTGCCTGACTGTCTGGTCTAGGTGATGCCATTCTGCCGGTCTGCGCTCGCCCCGGGTGGGATAGATTGTGTGACTGAAAAAGTCTGTCCCACGCCATATGCGATACTTTGAAGCTTTCACAGGCATGTGGGACACTCGCATCAAGTTCTCCATTGTCCTGAGCGCGTCTTCGTATGGGTCATTGGCCCCAGCTTTGTGGGAGCACTTGCGTAATTCCCGCGTTGTGGCGTTGAGCCGACTTCCAGGTAGATAGAAGACGACAGAGTCCTGGGGTAAGGCCTCGGATGTGATGTTCGTTGGCGTCCTTCCAACGACATGAGGGTGCATCGCCAACCAGAAATAATAGTCAATCTCAAGACCACCATACCAGTGATTTTGGTACGACTTTTGAAAGTTATGTTCGCCGGACAGGACGATATCGCAGTGGCTTCCACCAGGTATCTGTGGGCGTCCGATCAAGACCTCCTGGGCGGTGGTCAGGAAAGGCATGTACTGGTTGGCACCCCACGGGAAGGTCGACGGAAGGGTATGTCTCTGCGAATCTGCCCCAAAGAATACTCCGCGTCGAGGCACAGTGTAGTACGCGAAGTCCGAATCGCCAAAGTCGTTCGTGCGGCTCAATCTGACTATATGGTTTGTATAGTCGCTGTCGGTTGGTGCCCAGTGTGTTGGTGTCGTTTCCCCCTGGCGGCGTACGAACCACACACAATCCTGATTCGTCTTGGACTGCTCGTCGACATAATTCGCCAAGTCGCCGGTAGAGGGAAGCGGTATCTTGGTATTGAAAGAACGCACGACGCTCTTGTCTTTCCGATTCATATGGTCAAGCACCATGTCGCTCTGGTCGCGCTGCTTCAGCGAAAGAAGCTTTCTGCTGGCCTGCTCAAGAGTGGGGAGGTTGGCGGCGTCGAACGTGACACGGCCTTGAAAACCAAACAACTTGGCCAAGTTCTTGGCAGGAGACCGAGGGGTTGGGTCGCCGTATCCGGTGTATGCAGAAGCTGATTCCTGGTTGTTGCTAGTATTGGGCATACTAGGAGGCGCAAACCCTGGTGTTCTCGGCGTGTTCCCGCCGCCTGTACCTGCAATAGAAGATGGCTTGAAGTGTTGAGTAGGAGGGGTACGTCCTTGCGAGCTACCAGTGGCGGCGACGATGCTAGAAGAACCCGGTAACCCCTGAGAGGAATTGGCTCTAATCGACTGGTTGTTTAGACCTGTTCCAGTTGCAAAAGAAGCCGGAATGCTAACAGGATTGGAGGTCGGGGGAACCTGGTGAGAGCTATTGCCAACACCGGGAAGCCGGCTGCTACCAAGTCCCGTCCCAATGGCTGAAGTCGACGTGCCTGGACCAAATGTAGGATTGTTCGATGAAGCGCGGGGAACACTAGTCAATCTGGTCGTCGCTGGTGTCAAGGCTGAACTGCCCGGGGCACGCCCGGGCAGAATCGTCGATGATGCCGTTTGATAACGACCTCCGGGGAGACCGGCAGGAGTCGGGACTTCCAGTCTGCCTGGAGTTGCAGCAAAATTGACGCGAGGATTGCCGGCCGAGACCGTAGGGGTGGATTTTGGAGGAGGCCTTTGTCTGGGCTGGTAGCCTGAAGACTCGACGTAGGGGGTTTCTGGGATTGGCGGAATAGAGGTTCGAGGGTGATGCTGCAAGTCTGGTAGTTCATCATTTCGAATGATGTGCTTTGTAGATGAGATCGACGGGGTGGATTGTGGAAGAACTTGAGCAGGAGGGGTTCGCCTGCCCAGGTAACCCGAAGACTCGACGTAGGGTGTTTCTGGGATTGGCGGAATGGAGGCTCGAGGGTGATGATACAAGTCTGGCATTTCTTCGTCGTCGTCTTCGTCATCATCATCGTTACCTCCTCCGCGAAGGTTCAGGCCTTGAGACTCGGAGTCATCCTGGGCGATCCCAGTGACGCCAGAATGGCTGCGAAATTGAGCAGCCGGCACAGGAATGGTGCTGTACGGCGCCTCCGTTCCTGTGAAAATGTGTCAGAAACCTGCAGAATCTTGGGGTATAGTCCCAAACCTCTCAAATGATCATAGCCAAAGTTCCTCCGGTCGTGCGCTGTGAGGAAGTGAAGTGGAGGCGAAACCTCGGCCTCGTGCAGTTGTTCCCAGTCGTCAATCTCGAAGGAGGGCTTGCTGAGCTGGGCAAATTGAGACAAAGCAGGCTCGACGGGTAGACCGAAGTACAACATGGCGAACTTGGTGGCCAAAGAGGGGAAATGGCCCTTGAAACGTCCCGCAAGCAGGGCGTGATATCGCCTGGTGCTGTCCTCCTGGCATTCTCTCAAACTGCGAGGTTCCACGGCAGGAAGAAATATCTTCCTCTCATGAGGCGTAAAGTGATCATCTAAAACCTGCTTAATGGTGAGAGTCGGCCGATCGAGCATGCGTCTGAAAGTGTACTCGACCTCCTTCCAAGCGGCGTCAGTCGGCTTGATGAGAGGGTTGTACCGTTTCGTTGGGTCAAGCACTAGTTTGTTTAGGTCCGACATGGTGAGAGAAGTATGAGATGAACAAAAGAGAAGGTAGCCCGGGGAACAAGGTTAGCAAACAAGAGAAGGTAGGAAAGAGAGTGAAAACAGAAGAGATGTGTGTTGACAGGACAAGCGCTGGTGAGGGTTGACGAGAAAGATGGAAGCATATGAATGAAATCACCACAAAGAGATGTGCCCAAGTCGACTTGAAGCGATCAAGGGAGACGGATTCCGTTGGAAGAAGCTTTGGACATCCAAAGATGTCCATGCATGGACTTTTCTTTGATCCTTTACGCATTGTTGTTGAAATCTTGGTGTTACCACCGCGTTCCAAGGGAGGGGAAACGATCATTTCAAGATGTTTCGAGACGATTGGTAGCGAAAACACTCGACTTGGTGGTTCTCATGACTGATTGACCTTTGGAGAGGCCACCGCCGAATCGGCAGATGTCAAGTTCTCAGCAGCGATGTGTGTCGCGTCAGTTACTGCGATAAACGATACCCATACACGTCGAAGGAAATACCAGAACTAGCGGCCGTTGACACGGCAGCCACAGAAAACGGCACCAGGAAGTCTATCAAAGAAGAAAAGCGTTTCCGGTTCCAGTTCACTCCAAAATAATTCTATTGTCCCATGATATTGAAGATTCGACGACGCGAAGAAGCATGGGCTTTCGATGGCTGTGCCTCGACCCTCTCGGTGGGTTGAACAAAGCCGGCCGGTCGGGCGGCATTGTCTCTAGCGACCGGAAACGTACGCGAACAATCTGTCAATCGTCGATTCAACCCACGAATACAGGACGTATTATGAAACATTCATGGTGGAAGAAGAATCGAGACGCCGGGATGCTGTTGGAAACGAATCAGCCTCTTCAAGTAAGAGCGTGAGCTGAAGGGTTGGTCCTAGATGAAAGCCGTACATGAGGATGGGACCTAGAAGACAGTGTTAGCCAGGGTGCATTTCGTACTTCACACGTGGCGCTTCCCCTTTCCCTAAAAAATTGCATGGCAGAGGAATACGGGCCCTTCGTGCGTCTCAACACATCCGTTCATCGACTGACTGTTCGGGCCACTCTTTGCCGACCCGTTCTCTTACTACCTCCCTCTTAATAGCGTCGACATTAAATGCGCGACCAGCGGCTCGCCATCTCATGTAAGAGCATGGGGTAACTTTTCCGAGCAGCATGTCTTTTAACTATTGAACGACTCGGAAAACTTGCCCTGACAACCAACAACCACAACGCATCAAGGTATGTAATTGTTAGCGCAGTGGGCTGGCTGCCCACATCTCCGCATCACCTCGGGCGGGCGACTCCAGGCCGAACCTTATGGGGACCCCACGTTTCTGTCACAGCCCACTCGTCAATGATCAGATTCCATTGACAGCTGTTTGGTCTACAACTGGCTTGTCGTAGCAGAAGTTTCCAGAGGTCATGCGTTGCTGCGCTTACGTTTCCCTCGAGAGGAGACACGCCCAAGCCCTGAACCGGCGGGCGTTGAGAACCTTTTATGTTCGTGAATACATGTCCGGCTGGCTCCCCTCAGGTCTGAGGGTCGTACTTCTTAACATTTCCCTCTGACAACAGCGGAGAGAAGTGCGGGGTTCGCCATCCAACCAACAAAGCAGTCATCGTCGCTCACGTTCTGACCTCCGGTCGACGCAGAGCTGGTATCCATACTTGCTGCCGGTGGGAGACTATTTCTGCCGTACACCCTGCTGCTTGCCGTCTTGTCAATAAGTTGCAATCTACCTAGACATTCGAATTTAGTTCAAGACCCTCTCTTCAGCTCTTGCATTGCACCGCCTTGTGTGAATCCCAAGCCCGTCCCCTCTGTCTCCTGTTTGATCTCTGCCCTACCCTCACATACCTTGATGATGGCCTCTGAATCCCTGTTGAATAGCTTGAGGTCTGCAAGCCAGGTCGACTGCGACACTCTTGACGTGGAAGGTAACGATCATGCTCGAATCCTCGTCTTCTCGCGCATCATGGTAATGACCTTTCTGCAGTTGCCAAAGAGCTGGGCCCTTTCGTGGACTGCACCTCCAACCAGGCCATCGCGTTCAATGAGCTGACCAAGCTCACCCCTGACGGTAAATTCTACCACGAGCAGCTCATTCGAGATGCTGCCAAAGACGCACAGAGCTGGGCGAAAGAAACCTGGTCAGACGTTGACCCGGTTCTTCTCGCCGTTGAGATCATGGTATGTAACCAGGAGCCAGACGAGAACACCCCATCAGGTTCACTAACACGCTCAGATGGTCAGACTGTCGCTGCAGTTTGCCCCCTATTTGACGGGCTACTTTCATGTTCAGACCAACACACACTTCTCTTACTCGATTGAGAAGACTCGCTATAATGCTGAGAGTACGTTCTATCCTCAATCGTGGTCGTGGGCCTAAATCTCACACAGCGTGCAGGAATTGTCGAAATGTTCAAGAAGATCGACCCCAGCTTTGATATCAAGCGGGTATGCATCAAGATTCCCTCTTCCTGGGAAGGCATTGCCGCATGCAAGATCCTCGAGCAAAAGGGCATCGCCACTCTGGCAACAACCATGTTCTGTATGGAACAAGCTGCCCTGGCCGCTGATGCCGGCTGCACATACATTGCTCCCTACGTCAATGAGCTCAAAGTGCACTTTGTCCCTGGGTAAGTCTCTCCCATCGTCTCGTGCTCATTCCATAGAAACAGAGTTATTGACTTGATTTTCAGGTATGTTGACGAGAATAAAGCCTTCGACTTCTGCAGAACCGCCCAGGCATACTACATCGAGAAGAAGGCGAAGACAAAAGTGCTTGCCGCCAGTCTGACTTCAGTAGCTGAAGTCATGCAGCTCGCGGGCATCCAGCACGTGACTGTATCACCGCCCTTGCTCCGGGGTTTGGCGGCTCAGTCGGCTTCAACGTCGACCGAGAAGGTCGGCGGCTACTTTGATGCAGGCCCGGACAAGAAGTGGACTACCGACTTCGAGGCGGAGTTGAAGGATGAGAGTGCGTGGCGCCTTGCCTTCACGCGCAGTGGAAATGGAAAGTATGAGGAGAAACTTATACAGGCGATCAACATCTTCTCGGACAAGCAAGATGAGCTCGAGGAGCTCGCCCGTCGATACTTGTAAGTTCGAGGATCAATGATGAACTGGACTCGGGCTGCATCCGATTAGCTATGCAGGAGCTAGCTAGACGTACTCAACCCAATTGATCCATGTCTCATTCCCCAGCGTCAGCACATTTGCGCCGACTCTTGGTTGCAACTGTAACAGCGAGTATGACTGAGAAGACTTGAGACCAGCTCCTACGCCAGCATCTCATCTCAAGTAAGCTTCAGGTTGGACAACGGTTTGTGCGACGCGGTCTTGTCAGGCGAAAGACGCCACGATCTTCCAGAATTCGCACAAGCGGAAGAGGGACACACGACTTGTGATAAGAAGTCGCTTGCGATTGGCTTGCATCGCCACTCGGGTGCGTCAACCCCTGCCCTTCCAGAGATACCCCGATAACCCTCACCCTGTTATCAGTGAATCCTTAGACCTGGGCTTCATATCTTACCCCAACCACTCGGTAAGATAATCGACTCTCCCCCATTGCCGAGCTGAAAGCTGTCGATTGTATGACCATGCTGCCATCGGCAGCAGGCGGACCTGGCCGGCCCCAAGCCTGCATAGGTAGGTCTGTCGGGAGGAATTGGTTCGCTGCGGAGGGGTTACATCGCACCGAGCTGCTTGCGGACTACATAGAGTCGGCCATGTCTCACTTCCAGCAAAAGGTCGTTGCCATGCCACCGTTAAGAAGGGTCGCTAGGAGGTAGTTAAGATAAGATTAATTGCTTCTCGGCTCCGGATCTGCTTTTCTCTCGGGCATCCTCTCTTCGACGTTTCGCCCGGACCTTGCCTTTTCGTGTTTTACCTCATGCTTGTGTGCAGCTGCATCTGAATTGGATGAGCTGCATACGACTAAAACTTTGGCACACCATCATATTTTGACCAAAAAACCGACGGCCACGATGCGGGGTTACGGGAAAGATGAAGTGAAGCGGCGATGTACTTCACTACGGGCATGGGAGCTTCCCAAGCACCCTAGCACCATTGCTCCTGATGGGGTCTGGGTAAGGACTCGGATTGAGAAGAAAGAAAAAGGCAGCCCCGGCTTACGTTGTGACAGTCCAACTCAGACATGGACCCAGTTCCGTTGGAGCAACAGACATGGAGCATATGGACGATTCTGGCTTACTGGAGTTCAGACCTGATGAATCTGTCGACGTTGCAAACAGCAGGAAGTATTTTGGCAGTCGGGTTGAGCTGGAGAGAGTAAGTCGCAGTCAGGCGTGACGACATATTGATGGAAGTGCTTACTCGATGTAGAGCTATCCCTGCCATGGCGGTCGGAACCTTTGCCATAGCCATAGCCATGGTTCTCAACGGTGCTATTGGAAGTAGACTTCACGTCCCATTTTCAGTAATAGCCACGGGGAGCTTTGGGTTCTACTTCCGCTACTTCGCCATCGTCAGTCGCGCTATTCTGGCCATGTTCTGGTTCGGCGTTCAGTGTGCCAATGGCTCTTATTGTCTCACAATCATGCTGAGCGCCATGGCACCTGCCTATGCGAGGATCCCAAATACACTGCCAGAGTCCGCCGGCATTACATCGATGGGAATGTGCTCGTAAGCGTTGACGAGTTTGCCGCCGGCCGTTGACTAATAGCTGACTTCCACTCAAGTTTCTTCCTCTTTTGGGTTCTCCAGCTCCCTCTCCTACTCATTCATCCGACGAAGCTCCGGCCCTTGTTCTACGTCAAGCTTATCGCAGCCCCTGCCGTCGTTCTTGGTACAATGGGATGGGCAGTTAAGAAAGCAGGTGGCGGCGGTGATATCTTCAAGTTAGAGCCCGAAGTGCCTTCAGGTACGCCTCAATACGCCTGGTTGTGGCTGTCCTGCATGTCGAGCGTGACAGGGCAGTGGGCCACCATGGGCGTCAACATCCCCGACTTTTTGCGTTATTCCAAGAGCCCCAATGGCCAGCTCGTGCAACTACCCTTTGTACCTCTCGTGTTTACACTCTGCGGGACCCTCGGTATCATCACGACATCAGCAACGAAGGTGTTTGTGGGCGAGTACCTCTGGAATCCGCTTGACATTGTCAGTCTCTGGCTTGCAAATGGATCCGGAGGCCGGGCAGCCGCCTTCTTTGCGGCGTTGGCATGGTTCATTGCCACTGTCGGAACGAACATCACAGCGAACTCCATTAGTGCTGCGAACGATCTGACAGTCATGTTCCCCCGCTACTTGAACATCAAGAGGGGTTGCATGGTCGCAGCGGTGATTGGCGGCTGGGTTCTAGTGCCGTGGAAGATCCTCAGCTCGGCGCAGACGTTCCTGAACTTCATGGGCGCTTATGCCGTCTTCCTTGCCCCCATCAGCGGCATCATGGCGGCAGACTTTTGGCTCGTCAAGAAGCAGCGATACGACCTGCCTGGTGAGTACATTCGGATTCGAGGCATTACTGACAACGAGACTGACACGTTTGATGCGCAGGGCTGTACGATCCCCACGGCCGCTACCGTTTCGATGCGGGCGTTAATTGGAGAGCGCTCGTTGCCTTCATCGTTCCTGTGGCGCCTTCGCTGCCGGGCATGGCACTGGCTATCAGCGGCTACCCGGCAGTCAAGATCTCAGACGGTGCGCAGCATCTATACAGCTTCGACTGGCTTTTTGGATTCGTTGTGTCAGTCTTCTTATATACGACACTCAGCTGGCTGGTGCCGGCGAGGGAGTCTCTCATACCGCAGACGATTTGGGTGCGGGAGGGCATGGATATCGAGGGCACTCAGGGCAGTGATGTCGAGACTCCGAAAGACAAGACTCCCGAAAAGGTTCAAGCTGCAGCTCGGGATGGCCACCAGACTCCAGATTCCAAGGTGCTCTGAGCAAGAAATCGACTTGACGCCTTGTTGAAAGCTTCTGCCATGTCATGTAGCGAACAAATACCCTTTATGTCTAGAAGCTGTACTTTACAGCAGCCAGCTGCAGCTTAGTATGAAGAACAACGCAGTTGAGATCGACTGATCGCCGAAGACTCCGTCAACGCAACCAAGGCAATTAAAATGCACTTCGATAGAGTTGCGGAGAGAATAATATATGGACTTAGCGCTGCAGTGGTTGGACGTGACCACGGACAGTGTCGGGGTGCTATCGCCGACTCAGCTGTTCGGCGACTCAGGGGGGCCCGGGATTGAGGGTTGAGACGTGTCGGGGCGGGCTGCGACGGTCTTCTTCGGCGACCACGTGGGTGATTCTGCGGCAATCATCGGCGTCTTCCACCATTTGCTACAGTAGCCAAGTCTTGTAATGATGCACGGGCAGCTCAGATGCGAGTCCATGGTCGGTTTAAGAGTGGAAAAGAGCCAATGTCAGAAGCCCGAATTCATCGCTTCGCTTTCCATGTTCCTGCTGGAACAGAGACCACACACACACGCTGAAGGAGACTCCACGTCCGGCACAGTGTACGTACCGCTGCACGCGTGCACGGCCCCACTGGACGCCGACTGCACAACTCAACGCACAGTCCATCTGCACAGTCCGTCCATTTATGCAGACGACCTGATTTATGAACAGCTCACCTCCCCCCCACCCTCAGACTTTTCCCTCACCCTCCAAGAACAATCACGCCATCGCCCTTGTCAGTCACCTCATCGTCCAAGCTCCACACCAGAGCCGCGCCCTCGACGTCGTCGACCCAAAAGAAGCCCATCTCGGCCACTCACAACGCCATCTCTCCCAATGCAAGCGCCGCGGCGTCTATTTAGCGAGCTTTTACAGCTCTCGACAAAGCGGCCCGTCCCTTTTCGACCGCTACACGCCCCGGCCACTTCTCTGGCTGGTCCTCTTGCCGCTCCTCGTCCTCAGGGTTCCCTCCACCCTCGACTCTTGCACGCCTCTCCTTGCTCTAGACACACCCAGCCGACATCCGTCTCCTCCTCGACACCTTTCACTGGTGGTACCGCTGCTCGGGCACAAGAGAGGCAGCGGCCTCAGCATAACAGTGGCTCGGGTGGACCAATTGGCCCAGGGAAGCGTCCCCCACGCCTCATAAGGGTTAGGACTCTGCTCGCTAGCGGCGGGCTGCTGTCCTTCTTCATTGGCCTCTCGGAGCCGTTTCACGTCCCCCACGAAGATGATGTCGATACTTCCGGCCCGGCAGACTCGACCGATGACCGCGATCCGTCCCTCCCTCGCTTCCGGCTGAACGAGGTCCGAAAGCACGACGCAAAGTCCGGCAGCCCGTGGGTTACACAAGGCGATAAGGTCTATGATATTACCGAATGGGTCGGAGCCCATCCCGGTGGCGAGGTCATCCTCCGTGCCGCCGGGGGCAGCATTGATCCCTACTGGGACATTTTCACTATTCACAAGTCGCCCCACGTCTACGAGATCCTCAACCAATACCTGATTGGCTTTATCGATAATGCCGACCTGATTGACGGCAAGCCTGCCGCACAATCGATTGAGGACCCTTTCCAACACGATCCCAGCCGTGACCCAAGACTCATCACACTTACTCCCAAGCCTCGCAATGCCGAGACGCCTTTGGAGGGCCTGGCTGACAGCTATCTAACCCCCAATGAGCTCTTCTACGTGCGTAACCACATGTGGGTGCCCGAGGTCGACGACACCTCGGATTACACCCTTAAGATCGAGCTGCTCGATGGAACCATCAAGGAGTACACCCTCGATGATCTCAAGACCAAGTTTAAGCCTTCAACCATCGTGGCGGTTCTTCAATGCTCGGGCAACCGCCGAAGTGACATGACGCGCAACGCTAAAAAGACAAACGGTCTTCAATGGAATGTCGGTGCCATCTCTTGCGCTGAATGGCAGGGCGTGAAGCTCTCCGATGTTCTCGCCGACGCTGGTGTCCCCATTCTGGAAACAATGGCTGGCGACACGGAAGCCAAGCACGTCCAATTCATGGCTCTCGAGGCCTACGGCGCGTCAATCCCCATCGAGTCTGCCCTGGACCCCCGTGGCGATGTTCTTCTTGCCTACTCGATGAATGGAAAGCCGTTGCCAAGGGACCATGGCTACCCCCTTCGCGCACTCGTGCCTGGCCATGTCGCAGCTCGCTCTGTCAAATGGTTGAGCCACATCACGGTGTCAGATGAGGAGAGTCACAGCCAGTGGCAGCGCAAGGATTACAAATGCTTTGGACCCAACGAGACGAAGCCGGACTGGGACAGCGCAGCCCCCATCCAAGAAATGCCCATCACCAGCGCCATAACAACCGTTAGACTGGGTGACTGGAAGAGTGGAACCAATGACGCTGACACCGCCGGCCGAGAGGCTTCGCTGAAGGGATACGCCTACTCGGGCGGCGGGCGCAGAATCGTCCGCGTTGACGTGAGCCTTGATAACGGCAAGACATGGGACCAGGCGGAGCTCCTTGACGAGCCTGAGACTGCGCCCAAAGCCGGCCACAAGTCTTGGGCGTGGAAGCGCTGGAGATACGATGGTGTTGTTCCTTTGGGCGAACTGGGCGAAAACGGAAAGAAGTGCACAACGATGCTGGTCAAGGCTACAGATGAGTCGTACAACTGTCAGCCGGAGAGTTATGCGGCCATTTATAACCAGCGCGGCAACTTGGCCAATGCCTGGCATCGTCTCAGAGTTTGCTCAGACTGTGCCAAGGGAGCTTTGATTACTACGAGATGAGACTTTGATTATTCAAGAGGGGGAAAGAGAAGAGAGGTTGTTGTAGATGAGCCGGCAAGTTTCGTTTGTACCAGGGTTTTGGCGTATTTCGGAGTACCAACAGCGAGGCGTGTTGCTGTTCTTCGTTTCCTCCGTTTGGTATCTACTGCCATTAGCGATTGCAGTGGTTTTCTTCTTCTTCTTCTCTTATTCATCATCAGAGCAGCCAGTCGTAGATTACGAGTACGCAAGACCGGGCTCGCATAGTTGACGTAACGTTCAACGTAAAGTTCAATTCGAAAATGGAGCATTGATTCAATTGCTAAAGTTGTACAGCACGGCAGGCCCTATTGCCCTGAGATGCCCTTGGCATCGTGCCCAAAACAGGCCTCTGCCTTCGTCTATTCTCTAGAAACCCTTCCCGACTTAGAAGTACATTGTATGCGCCGCTTGGCAGAATACTTAGTCCTCGTCCTCCTCCTCGTTGTCGGTGAAGTACTCGAACTCGCCTGGCACTGTCGCCTCCTCGTCGCCCTCACCGTCCTCATCAACGGCGGTGAGAACTCCTGCCGCAGCCGCCGCACCACTTCCTTCCGTCGCGCCAGCAAGATCACCTCTCCTCTGGCGTCCCAGCAACTCGCTAAGCTCGTTGAGCGAGCGGAGATCACCGCCAGCGCCAGCTCTAAGGGCCTGAGAGATGATGTTTTGCTGCTGCCTAGGCGTCAGGCCCGCCGATGAGCCACCGGCGTTACTTTGGCCAGCAACGGGGGCCTTCTCCGTCGTCACCTTCTTGAGCTTCTCCTCCATCAGAGACTTCTCCTCGTCAGGTTGGGTATCCTGCAACAGCAAAGGTCCGCCAGTTGGCTACGAATAGTTAGCGCCTTCTCTTGCTTACTGTATTGGAGTTGGGTTTACTGTACCTTCTTGACCGGCTTGTAACGGCCGGCAGGGAAGCTGATAAACTTGAGCTGACCAGGCAGCACGCGCGACATGTTCTCCATGTCGTAGCCAACCTTCTCCTTCTCTGCCTTCTTCTTAGTATCTGCCGGAGGGGCAGAGGCCTCCTTGTCAGTCACCTCGCCCTCCTTCTTGTCCTTGACCTCTTCCTTCTTCTCATCTACCTCCATCTTATCGGAAACGGTAGGCTTAGCAGACGAGTCAATGTCCATGCTTTCCCGGCGCTGGGCACGCTCCTTCTTTTGGGCTCTTCGCTTGGCTTGCGCGGTGGTGGACAGGACAGCGGTGGCTACCATCGTGGGACCCTCCTCGGTCTTCACCTCCTGCTCAGGGGGGTAGTCAAACAAGCTGGGGCGAGTAGCGCAGTGGAACTTGAAGCTGGGGATCTCCAGCTCGTGGTCCAGGCCGATGATGGAGGTGGGAGAGAATGCCAGAGAGAGGAAGTGAGTGAAGGGGAACCAGTACCAGTACTGGGTGAAGACCGCCATACCCACGATGCCGGCCATGTTGAGATTACCGGTCTGAGTTTGAAGACCGATAGTGCAGTTGCGACCACCAGCATCAATGATGCCCAGGGCGAGCGAGGCACCAAACTTGGTCATGGCGTCTTCATGACGGTCACCGACAACCTTCTTCAGAGTCTTGCGAATGGAGGCGACCTTGGGGTTCATCACCTCGTTCTGCTGGATCATGATCATGGCAAGGGAGATGAGGGCACCCTGGCGAACGAAGTCGGTGGGATCTTTCATCATCGGCTCAAGCAGATCAATGGCCTCGTCGAGACCAGTGCCCGCGCAGGAGATACCCAGAGCCATGGCAGATCCGTAACGGACGTGGGGGTTGTACGACTCAGAGAGGAGCTCGACCATGCGGGGCACGCTACCGGGCTTGCGGAACAGGATGAATCCCAAGCTCATGACAGCAACACGGCGGACGTCGTCGTTGACGTCGCTGACAGCGATGTGCAGCAGCTTGCGAATGGCCTTGTTGCTGCCGGTACCGCAGTACGCGAGGGCAACTGTCATGATACCTCCGTATCTGAGAGTCGGGTCGGGGTCGTTGAGCAGACCCTCAATCATGGCGTCGGCGCCCTCTTGGCGGCCGTACATGATGAGAGCCATGCCGATGGCAAGGCCACGAACAATCTTCTCGTGGGTCGTCTCATGGGCATACGTAATCATGTCCTCCAGAGCACGCACGTTGCCTGTGCCCAGCATGATGAGACCCATCGCAAGACCAACGGCCTCACCGTTCAACGCAGAGTCCGTGAACAGGACAGTTC